TCTGGCCTTCTGAAGAGTGTTAACAGTAGGTTATAAGAAAACATTTTTAAATGCCCACAAGAGAAATGAGGAAAGAATTAAAATCGACATCCTAACATCATGATTAAAAGAACTAGAGAAGCAAGATCAAACAAAGTCAAAAGATATCAGAAGATAAGAAATAGCTAAGATCAGAGCAGAATTGAAGGAGATAGAGACACAAAAAAACCCTCAAAAGAATCAATTAATCCAGAAGCTGGTTTTTTGAAAAGATCAACAAAATAGATAGACCACTAGCCAGACTAATAAAGAAGAAAAGAGAGAAGAATCAAATAGATGCAATAAAAAATTATAAAGGGGTTATCACCACTTTATACAAACTACCATCAGAAATATAAACTACCATCAGAGAATACTATAAACACCTCTATGCAAATAAACCAGTAAATCTAGAAGAAATGGATACATTCCTGGGCACTGACACCCACCCAAGACTAAACCAGGAAGAAGGCGAATCCCTGAATAGACCAATAACAAGGTCTGAAATTGAGGCAGCAATTAATAGCCTACCAACCAAAAAAAGGCCAGGACCAGACAGATTTACAGCCGAATTTTACCAGAGGTACAAAGAGGAGCTGGTACTATTCCTTCTGAAACTATTCCAAACAACAGAAAAAGAGGGAATCCTTCCCAAATCATTTTATCAGACCAACATTATCCTGACACCAAAAGCTGGCAGAGACACAACTAAAAAAGACAATTTCAGGCCAATATCAACAATAAACATTGATGCAAAAATCCTCAATAAAATTCTGGCAAGCCGAATCCAGCAGCACATTAAAAAGCTTATCCATCACAATCAAGGTGGCTTCCTCCCTGGGATGCAAGGCTGGTTCAACATACACAAACCTATAAATGTAATCCATCATATAAACAGAACCATGACAAAAACCATATGATTATCTCAATAAATGCAGAAAAGGCCTTCGACAAAATTCAACAGCACTTTATGCTAAAAACTCTCAATAAACTAGGTATTGATGAAACGTACCTCAAAATAATGAGGGCTATGTATGGCAGACCTACAGCCAATATCATACTGAATGGGTAAAAACTAGAAGCATTCCCTTTGAAACCTGGCAAAAGATAAGGGTGCCCTCTCTTACCACTCCTATTCAACATAGTATTGGAAGTTCTGGCCAGGGCAATCAGGCAAGAAAAGGAAATAAAGGGTATTCAATTAGGAAAAGAGAAAGTCAAATTGTCTCTACTTGCAGACGACAGGATTGCATGTTAAGAAGACTCCATCATCTCAGCCCAGAATCTCCTTAAGCAGATAAGCGACTCCAGCAAAGTCAAAGGATATAAAATCAATGTGCAAAAATCACAAGCATTCCTATACACCAATAACAGACAGAGAGCCAAATCATGAGTCAACTCCCATTCACAATTGCTACAAAGAGAATTAAATACCTAGGAATACAACTAACAAGGGATGTGAAGACCTTTTCAAGGAGAACTACAAACCACTGCTCAAGAAAATAACAGAGGACACAAACAGATGGAAAAACATTCCTTGCTCATGGTTAGGAAGAATCAATATCATGAAAATGGACACACTGCCTAAAGTAATTCATAGAGATTCAGTGCTATCCTCATTAAGCTACCATTGACTTTCTTCACCGAATTGGAAAAAATTACATTAAACTCATATGGAACCAAAAAAGAGCCCACATAGCCAAGACAATCCTCATCAAAAAAACAAACAAACAAACAAAAAAACCCCAAAGCTGGAGGCATCTCACTATCTGACTTCAAACTATACTAGAAGGCTACAGTAATCAAAACATTAAAACAGCATGGTACTGCTACTAAAACAGAGCTATACACCAATGGAACAGAGCAGAGTCCTCAAAAATAATGCCACACATCTACAACCATCTGATCTTTGACAAACCTGACAAAAACAAGCAATGGGGAAAGGATTCCCTATTTAATAAATAGTGTTGGGAAGCCTGGCTAGCCATATGTAGAAAACTGAAACTGGATCCCTTCTTTACACCTTATACAAAAATTAACTCCAGATGGATTAAAGATTTAAACATGAGGCCTAACACCATAAAAACCTTAGTAGAAAACCAAGGCAATACCATTCGGGACATAGGGATAGGCAAGGACTTCATGACTAAAACACCAAAAACAATGGCAACGAAAGCCAAAATAGAAACATGGGATCTAATTAAACTAAGGAGTGTCTGCACAGCAAAAGAAAATATCGTTAGAGTGAACCAGCCATCAGCAGAATGGGAAAAAATTTTGCAATCTACCCATCTGACAAAGGGCTAATATCCAGACTCTACAAAGAACTTAAACACATTTACAAGAGAAAAACGACCCCATCAAAAAGTGGGTGAAGGATATGAACAGACACTTTTCAAAAGAAGATATTTATGCAGCTAACAAACATATGAAAAAAAGCTCATCATCACTGGTCATTAGAGAAATGCAAATCAAAACCACATTGAGATACCATCTCACACCAGTTAGAATGGCGATCATTAAAAAGTCAGGAGACAACAGATGCTGGAGAGGATGTGGAAAAATAGGAAACTCTTTTACACTGTTGGTGGGAGTTCAACCATTGTGGAAGACAGTGTGGCAATTCCTTAAGGATCTAAAACTAAAAATACCATTTGATCCAGCAATCCCATTACTGGATATATACCCAAATGATTATAAATCATTCTATTCTAAAGACACACCCACATGTATGCTCATTGTGGTACCGTTTGCAATAGCAAAGACTTGGAACCAATCCAAACTCCCATCAATGATAGACTGAATAAAGAAAATGTGGCACATATACACCATGGAATACTATGCAGCCATAAAAAGGATGAGTTCATGTCCTTTGCAGGGACATGGATAAAGCTGGAAACCATCATTCTCAGCAAACTGACACAAGAACAGAAAACCAAACACCACATGTTCTCACTCATAAGTGGGTGTTGAACAATGAGAACACATGGACACAGGGAGGGGAACATCACACACCGGGACCTATCAAGGGGTGGGGAGCTCGGGGAGGGATAGCAGGGGGATGGGGGATAGGGGAGGGATAGCATTGGGAGAAATACCTAATGTAGAAGACAGGGTGATGAATTCAGCAAACCACCATGGCACATATATCCTATGTAACAAACCTGCATGCTCTGTACATCTACCCCAGAGCTGAAAGTATAATTTTTAAACAATTGTAAAAAAAAAAAAAAAAGTGAAAGAAAGAGAAATTACATATCTTTGTATAAAATGTCAATTAATAAAATTTCAGAACCAAAAAAAAACCAAACACTTTTAAAATTTCTTCCTGAGTTCTATTCAGTTTTTCCCATAAAGCAACATGGTTTGGGATGTGTTATGAACTGAATTGCATCTCTCTTCCCCCATCAAATTCGCATGTTGAAGCCCTAACCCCAATGTACTGTATTTGGAGAGAGAGTCAATGGGAGGTTATTAAGATTAAATGAGGTCATAAGGGTAGGGCCTAATTTGATGGGATTAAGGCAGGTGAAAGGAGGGCAGGAAAAGGCCAGAGGCATGCTCTGAGGCTCAACACACCCTAACACTGTCTTTTAAGAAGTGGAAGAAATGTCAGATACGCTCTCCTCCCTGTGCACGCACAGAGGAAGACCACATGAACAAACAGTGAGAAGGTGGCAGTCTACAGGCTGGGAAGACAGTCTCGCTAGAAACTGAATTTGCCAGCACCTTCATCATGGACTTCCAGCCTCCAGAGCTGTGAGAAAATAAATATCTGTTTTTTAAGCCACTCAATCTGTGATGTTTGTTTGGCAGCCCTAGCAGACTAATACAGGGTGGTATTTAACTCATGCTGCAAACAGAACCAGGAATTCTCTTGGAAGATAGAATTGTTATTTGTAACTCCTTGAGCCCCACTACAAAATTCAAAGCTTTTTGATCTGAATAGTGAGCGTCCTCAGACTTGAGAAAAGAGACACTCACTGCCCCTGAGACACAACCACCTTCTCCAAGGCCAACCCTGCACCCCGCAGCACCATCCCAGTAACACCCCCTTTCCAGCAAGTACAAAAGGACACTGGGAAAGGGAGTGCTTTTGAGGGACTGTGTTAAAGAAACTTCTTCATCTCCTAAAGCTGTGCAAACATCAGATATCAATATTTGTAAGGATGGATAATGTAATTTATAATGACGTTACTTTCTCAGCTATTTTGTTAACTGTATCATATAGCCTATAACTCATTTGTGCCATTCCATTTTCCTCTGTTCCTTTTATTGTCACTTCTCTTGTAATGTTAGTCTCCTTGTACTGATATCTGAAGAGTTCATTTATGATTAATGATGCTAATATTTTGTCTAGAATTGCAAATATGTTTTTTCTCATTCATTTTACTGTGGTGGTTTAATTTTTGGTTATGCAGAAGTCGTATATTGAAATATGAACTATAATCTTGTTCTTTTTTAAAAAAAAGAAAGAAAGAAACTTCTCTTCTCCTGTCTGCCAGGCACGTGGTTTCAAATGCAGGGATTTCCAGGCTTCCTGCCTCAGGCAGCTGGGGCTCTGTGGGCACCTCCCCCACGAGGGTCAGGTAAAGTTCTTTGCCTAATCTTCCCCTGCTCGGGAAAGCCAGGCAGGGCTCTTTCATCCCAAATTCCCATGGAAAGCTCTGGGAGGCGAGGGCTCTGTGACTCAGGGTTGTAAAACAAGTAGCCAGTCTGGTATCAGAGTCAAAGATCAATCAATCCAGAGGAAGTTTGAGAGAGCTCCTCTCATTAGACGAGAACATGAATGGGGAGGGAATAACTCAAGGGTTAAAACTCCAGCTGCTCCTACCTGGATGAATTTCTTCTCTGGATCCCCTCCCAAGACAGCATGGGAGCTGTCTTCTTTCTCTCTCTCTCTGTCTAATAGATCGCTCTTCTGCAAAACTTTTTGGGACCACAATATTTATTTGAACAGTAAACTCACCGCTCCTCCGGGGCCCTTTCCCCATTCTTCGGGGTTAGAGAGGCCAAGAACCTACAAGCTGAGTTCTCGTCCGGTAGCACTTTGGCTCTTCCCATGCCTCCATAAGAAGGAGGACATGTTGTGGAGATTAAAGATGGTTGTAAAATGAGGACCTACCCCAGCAGTCTGCACTGTTCCGTGAAGCCCTGGGTGTCTCCCAAACACTTTCTCTTCCCAGCCTGTAGACTGCCCCCTTCTCACTGTTTCTTCATGTGGCCTCTCTTCTGTGTGTGCGGAGGGAGGGGACTGTATCTGATCCTTCTACCTCTTCTTACAAAGACCTTGGTCCTGTCAGATTAGAGTACCACCCTAATGACCTCATTCAATTTTTTTTTCCTAGATGGAGTCTCACTCTATCGCCAGGCTGGAGTGCAGTGGAGTGATCTGAGCTCACTGCAACCTCCACCTCGCAGGTTCAAGCGATTCTCCTGCTCAGCCTCCAGAGTAGCTGGAATTACAGGTGCCTGCCATCACATCCAGCCAATTTTTTATTTTTTAGTAGAGATGGGCTTTTGCCATGTTGACCAGGCTGGTCTTGAACTCCTGACTTCAAGTGATCCGCTGGTCTTGGCCTCCCAAAGTGCTGGGATTACAGGCGTGAGCCACCGTGCCCGGCCTGTACTACCTTTTCTTTATCTAATCCACCACTGATGGGCACCTAGGCTGATTCCACGACTTTGCTATTGTGAGCAGTGCTGTAGTAAACATGCAGGTGCAGGTGTCTTTTTGGTAGAACGATTTCTTTTTCTTTGGGTAGATACTCAGTGGGCTAAACAAGACAGATCCCTGTCTAGATTAACAATGAACAAAAAAAAAATAAGAGACAAGTAAGCACAATCAGAAATGACAGAGATGACATAAAAACTGATCCCACAGAAATACAAAAGATCCTCAGAGACTGCTATGAGCACCTCTAGGAACACAAACTAGAAAACCTCAAGGAAATGAAAATTCCTGGAAACACGCAACCTCCCTAGACTGAACCAGGAAGATACTGAATCCTTGACCAGACCAATAACAAGTATAAAATTCAATCAGTAATTTAAACGTTACCAACCCAAAAAACCCTGGTCAAGGCAGCTTCATAGCTGAATTCTACAAGTTGTACAAAGAAGAGCAGGTAGCAGTCCTACTGAAACTATCCCCCCAAATTGAAGAGGAGGTAGACCTCCCTAACTCATTCTACAAGATCATTATCATCTTGATACCAAAATTATTAAACGTATGGAATCTCGTCACTTGGTTTGTATTTTAATATTCTGTGAGAAAATGGATGGGAAGAACACAAAGCGTTTGTGCTGCTTACGGAAACACTACGTTGTTTTCAGGAGAAGCACTTGTGTGATTGTTTGAGTTGTGAGTTGAAGTAATTGGTTTGTTTCATGGAATACCATATTCATTTTCTATTGCTACTGTAACAAACTGCCACCAACTTGGTGGCTTAAAACAAGACAAATTTATTATCTTACACTTCTGGAGGTAAGAAATCCAACGTGGGTCTCACTGGGGTAAAATCAAGGTGTCAGCAGGGCTGTGTTCCTTCTAGAGACTCGTGGGGTGGGGGGAATCCATTTTCCTGCATTTTTTATCTTCTAAAGGCCACCTGCATTCTTTGGTTCATGGACCCTTATCTTCAAAGCCAGAATCAGAGCATCTTCAGATCTCCTGCCGCTCTCTTTTACTCATAAGGATCCTGGTGACTGCAGTGGGCTAAACCAGGTAATTCAGGATAATCTTCTTAAGGGCTTTAACCGACTTACATCTGCCACGCCCCTTTTGCCATGTAAGGTAACATATTAACGTGTTCTAGATTAAAACATAGTTATTAGTCTGCTCACCACTATCCCCACTTTCACGTGAAAGAATGAATAACAAAGAGTGGTTATTCAGTCTTGGGTATTTGGCAGATATTTTCTCAAAATAAACAAAGTAAACCTTTAACTTTTAGGAAAACCTTTTTTTTTTTTTTTTTTTTTTTTGAGACAGGGTCTCACTCTGTCACCCTGGCTGGAGTGCAGTGGTGTGATCTCAACTCACTGCAACCTCTGCTTCCCGGGCTCAATCCTCCAACATCAGCCTCCCAAGTAGCTGGGACTACAGGTATGTTCCACCATGCCTGGCTAATTTCTTTTCTCTTTTTTCTTTTCTTTTCAGAGATGGGAGTTTCTTCATGTAGCCCGGGCTTGTCTCCAACTTCTGGACTCCAGGGATCTACTTGCCTCGCTCTCCCAATGCGCTGGGATTATAGGCATGAGCCGCCATGCTCGGTCAGGAATACCACTGAGAGTATTTGCTACAAAAGATAAAACTCAACTTTTCAAATTAAAATAAGAATTTTGGAAACCCTGTGTCCACCACAGTGAATTTGACAGCCTCCCAATGCTTAGACTTCTAATGAGATTCATGGTGTGATTTCTTTTAGACATTAAATAATGAAATGTGTCCACATATGGAAGATCTGAGTAGCTAAGTAAACCAATATTTTTCAAATGACCACTGCATCACGTTACAAAATCATGCATGGGTAAGAGATTACTCAGCGTGGAAGAAGGACCAATGGGTTTAAATGTAACAGAGTAGGAAAATTCATGATATGGTTTTAGACTCCGCATTGCAATCAGCCTTTAAGAAACTACCACTTGTTAAATTTTGATGCAGTATTTCAAAAGACTACTCACAATAATCAGAAAAGGCTACAAAAATACAATTCCTTTTCAAACTGTGTATCTATGTTAAGCCAGCTTTAGTTTGGATACCTTAATTTTTAAAATCATGGCAAATTGAAATGCAGAATAAAATAAGAATCCAGCTGTCATTCTATAAGTCAAATGTTAAAGATATTTGCAAAAATGAAAAACAATGTCACTCTTCTCTTTGACTTTGAGGAAATTTAGTTATTTTTATTTAAAAAATTAATTATGTTAACATGTAATAGGTTTATTATTTTTAAAGAGTAAAGTATTTTTTAATTTCTCAAGTTTTAATTTCTTATATGGTAAACATTGATAGCTATAATTCACGTAAATGAAAGCTCTTCAAAGGCTTCAATAATTTTTAAGATTGTAAAGCCAACCTGAGACCAAGTACCACTAGCCTACCCTTTGGCTACCTGGGAACAGAACTAAAGAGGTAACAGGAAGCCACAATGAACCATAATAATGTTGTCAAGTAACCCTGCAATACCATTCAGGGCATAGGCATGGGCAAGGACTTCATGACTAAAACACCAAAAGCAATGCCAGTAAAAGCCAAAATAGACAAATGGGATCTAATTAAGAGCTTCTGCTCAGAAAAACAATCATTAGAGTAAACCAGCAACCAACAGAATGGGAAAAAATTTTTGCAATCTACCCATCTGACAAAGGGCTAATATCCAGAATCTATAAAGAACGAAAACAAATTTACAAGGAAAAAACAAACAACCTTGTCAAACAGTGGGTGAAGGATATGAACAGACACTTTTCAAGAGAAGACATTTATGCAGCCAACAACCATATGAAAAAATGCTCATCATCGCTGGTCTTTAGAGAAATGCAAATCAAAACTACGTTGAGATGCTACCTCACACCAGTTAGAATGGTGATCATTAAAAAATCTGGAGACAACAGATGCTGGAGAGGCTGTGGAGAAATAGGAACCTCTTTCACACTGTTGGTGGAAGTGTAAATTAGTTCAACCATTGTGGAAGACAGTGTGGCAATTCCTCAAGGATCCAGAAATAGACATTCCATTTGACCCAGCAATCCCATTACTGGGTATATACCCAAAGGATTATAAATCATTCTATTATAAAGATACATGCACACGTATGTTTATTGCGGCACTGTTCACAATAGCAAAGACTTGGAACCAACCCAAATGCCCATCAATGATAGACTGGATAAAGAAAATGTGGCACATATACACCATGGAATACTATGCAGCCATGAAAAAGAATGAGTTCATGTTCTTTGCAGGGACATGAATGAAACTAGAAACCATCATTCTCAGCAAACTAACACAAGAACAGAACCAAACACCGCATGTTCTCACACATAAGTGGGTGTTGAACAATGAGAACACATGGACGCAGGGAGGGGAATATCACACACTGAGGCCCGTTGGAGGGTGGTGGGTTAGGGGAGGGATAGCAGGGGGTGGAGGGATTAGGGAGAGATAGCATTAGGAAAAATATCTAATGTAAATGATGGGGTGATGGGTGCAGCAAACCACCATGGCACATGTATACCTATGTAACAAACCTGCATGTTCTGCACATGTATCCCAGAACTTAAAGTATAACATATTTAAAACAAAAAGAAAAATAATAAAAATAAAAATAAAAAATTAATTTTGTTAACATGCAATGGGTTTATTATTTTAAAGGAGTAAAGTTTTTTTTAATTTCTCAGTTTTAATTTATGATGGTAAATATTGATAGCTATAACTCACATAAACAAAAGCTCTTCAAAGCCTTCAATAAGTTTTAAGACTGTAAAGCCTACCTAAGACAAAGTACCACTAGTCTACCCTTTGGCCACCAGGGAACAGAACTAAACAGGTAACAAAGAAGAGCTCAGCCACAGTGAACCCTAATCATATTGTCAAGTGACCTGAAAAATGTAATCTGAATAATCTGTTCAATGCCCTCTTCCCAGGAGGAGAGCCCCCAGCACTAAGGCAGCTTAGACGAGGTTTGGAGGATGTAAACAGGTATAATCAGGACTCTGCAGTGGGCAGCCACCCGTCAAACCCTGGGAGAGCCCACCACATGACCCATGAGGCACCAGCACTTTTGACACCTGCCACACAGAGGGCATCAGCGTTTGTTTAAGGTTAGCTAAAAAAACAAGGACAACTAATGAAGTGCAATGTTTGTCTCTTTTCCTCTCTCTAATCAAGGCTCAAACCAAATGTGAAGCTGGAGGCTTAGTAGAAGAGGGAGAATTCCAGAGGAAGACCACGTACTCCCACAGTGAGGGGCCCAAGACTGAAAGAGAAGACCAAG